ACTGCAATAGGTAGCTGCCTAGTAGGCGTAGACACTACGTAACGCGCGCGAAGTTAAGTCTTAAATTAGTCTTATTTAAGAGAGCGTGAGAAAACGCTATAGGTCTTCTACTAATTTACTTACTAAGTAGATTGCGTAGCTAAGTAAGGAGGTCTAGTAAATAGCATATAAAATAACGCTTTTAATAGAGGAAATAAGTACGCTTTAAGTAGCTCTTAATAAGTTAAATAAGCGTAAAAGCTATAAGTTTAATATATATAGATAGAAGAGACTCTTACTATAGGTAAGGTATAAAAAGTATTAGCTAAGTAGGTAGGTAGTAGTTATAGTAATAGTAAGAGTGCGTTAAAGAGGGTGCAAGGAGAGCAGCAGTGTAGGCGTTGTAAATAGACTAGACACAACGCTTGTACTTATGTAGTTAAGATAAATAGTGTAAGTAATAGTAGCAATTCTAATAATTAACTTAGTGTATTATATTAGTTTATTAACTATAATAAAAAATTATAATAACGTGTAAATGTAGATGTAGTAGTAGGGCGTTAGCGACTCGCTTAGGTTTGCGACTTACTTGTGAACCATGTTATTAATAATTAAAGTAATTTAAAAATCTAATATAATATATACAATTTTATTTTTAGTTCTATACATTCTTAAATAACTTATTATAGACTTCCTCAAACTATAAAATAGCTTATGAAAGCTTAAATAAAAGTAATAAAACTTAAATAAGATCAGTACTTAAAGCTTTCAAAGTATACTAATTAGTATACTAATTTACTAAGTTTACTATATTCGTACTTTCTTACTAAACTTTTTAATAACTTCGAAGTGCTATAAGTAATAAGGTTTAATATATATTAATAAATTAATTGCTCATAAACTTTAGAAGTTAGAGCTACTTAAATTTTTTCAAACTATAACTAATTTTATAGCTACGATAAGTAAAAAAAGCTTATTAAAAACGCTTAAGCTAGTATTATAAGCTTAGCTCTTTTAAGCGGATAAATACTAATTGTTAAGCTACTTTACTAGCTACTATACTAGCTTAGATAGTAATTTAGCTAACAAAGTAAATGACTATACTACTTTTACTATAGCTTTTAGTACTTAATTACTAACGTATTCCACCACCGAGAGTGCCACCCCACCGAGAGTGCCACTTTTT